CGACAAGTTACATCCCTCATTTAATGCCTTAACCTAAAGGCATCTCCTCAAGATAATAGTTGCCCGGTTGGCAAAAATGTTCTAGGATCATAGCTTTCCAGGCGTATCGGCGATCTCTATACACCTGAAAACATGGGGGCTCAATGTGATGCCTAAATTTCTCAAGACATGGCCCACGAAACATAAAGCGCAGACAAAAGTTGGTGTACGATATGCGCAAAAGGCGACCGATGAAACACGCGAACAACCAAGAAGTTAGGTTTTTCGATCCCTCAGCCGCAGAAGTCAGTTCTTGTCGATCTCTCTCTAAGTCTTTTGGAAGAAGATTGATGATCTCTCCTCGTCTTAACGTCGAACCAATAATTCCACCACCTAAGTTGTCCCATCCTCAAAAGAAGAGTTTTGCATGGATACACGCGGCGCAACCCTACGCCTCTAGCTGGCACCGAGCCTTTAATTTTTTTTTTTCGCTTTCTTTTTTGTGTATAAATTCGACTCCTTCGGGTCCTAGCAAAAACACAACACAAAAACAACACAACAACGAAAAAGATCCAAAAACACCACATATGCTCATATATGATTGTATCACATTACTACACAATCTCTTAATAAAAATGTCGAAGAACCATTCTCTTTGCCGATCTCCATAGCAGATCGGCGATATCAATGCCTCCTTTTTTTTCTCGCGTATTTACTTTTCTAGGTAATATGAATCTATTCATATTTTCTTCAGATTTATCGCTTCATTAACACCCTAAAATATATCGTAACCCCCGATTAAACAGTACAATTGGTATCAACTATAATTGTTGGCAGTCGACCGTCAACAAATTCTGGAAATTAAAATCAATGTTCCATTTTTTGATCTATGACGCCCCAATTCTGGAAAAAGAAAATTAAACAAAAAAAAAAAACAAACAAACAAACTTAGATTTCCTTTTCAATTATATGAACCCTAATTTATCTGAAAACCCCATAATTGATGAAATTTAAATCAAAACCAAATGTCATTTTCAAAAAACATATAAATAAAACCCGGCGAATTGCGTCAATTTTGGTCAAGTCTGGTGGCGGAGAAGTCCTTTTCTAAAAACGTTGATGTAGGAGTGGGACAGACTTAGTTTCTCTTTTAATTTTTTAATATTGTAATAATAATAGGATTATATTATAGGTAAACTGACTTGAAAAATGAAAGGTGCTAAGGAGTGCAGAGGATAAAAACTTATGTGGGGGACTGAATAAAAAAAAAAAATGGATTAGGGATTTAAATGCAAAAAGAAAATAATTATTTGTAATATCAGATTTTAGCATTAGAAAGTAAAAAATGTAAGGACTTTACAGTTTGTTCATCTTTTATACAAAATCACTTCTTATTTTACATTTGCATATATATATAGATAGACAAATTATGCGCACATTATAGCTCTATTTGACTATTAGCGAATGGTTGATAGGAGGTGTAATATCGGTTTTGAATAGAAGATTTATTATGTGTTTGTAAATTAATATTTGGTAAATAATGTATGGTACAATTATTTTAAAAATTTTATGTTAATATACTACTCTGCGAATCATCTCTTCTCAAATGCTTGAGTTTTCAATATCAGTGTTCCTTTTCGTCTAAAAAAATTATAAAATAAATTATTTACAACACAAGCTAAATAGTGAATTTGACATATCAAATCTGTAAATAAGTTAGAATCTACTAGTTTTATTTAAACTAATGGCTAACATGTTTAATTTTTGTCAAGTCTGGCGACGGAGAAATTTTTTTCTTAGAGATTGAAATGTTGATGTGGGAGTGGGACGGGCTTAGGGCATGATTGTTTACCAAATATTTCATCCAAAATATTTCAACTCAAAAATCTAACTCAACTTTAACTCAACCCCCACTATCTTTAATATTTTTCATATAATGAAATAATACAAACCAATCATTCTTACACATCACATCAACTTTAATTCACTATTCATCCACTCACAAAATTTTAACTACCAATCATTTCCAATCATTTATCTCCTACTTTATATCAAATCAATTTTAATCATTTTATTTTAAATATTTTTTTAATATATTTTTTAAATTCCACTAATAATTAACCACACTACTTTTTCAACTTTAACTATAGTTAACCAAAATGAAATATTTTAGATGAAATATTTTATAAACAATCGTGCCCTTAGTTTCTCTTTTAATTTTTTCATATTGTAATAACGATAGTATTATATTATATGTAGTTGACTTGAAAAATGAAAAGAGCTTAGGAAAAAAAAAAAATATGGTGGGACTGAATAAAAAAATAGAAGGTTTAAATGTAAAAAGTCGATAATTATTTGTAATATACAATTTTACTATTAGAAAATATAAAAATTGAGGACTTTAAGTATGTTTTATTTTTATACAAAATCACTCCTCCTTTTATATTAGTACATATATGGATAGACAGATTAAACACACATTATAGCTCTATTTGACTATTAGTGGATGGTTGATGGCGGGTTGTAATATCATATTTTACTAGCAGATTGTATTATGTGTTTGTAAATAAATATTTAGTAAATAATGTATTGTATAATTATTTTGAAAATATATGTTAATATGCTACTCCGTGAATCATCTCTTCTCAAATGCTTGATTTTTCAATGTTAGTGTTTCTTTTAGTCTAAAAAATTAACCAAATAAATTATTTACAACACAAGCTAAATAGTGAATTTGACCGATCAAATCTGTAAATAAATTAGAATCTACTAATTTTATTTACACTAATGGCTAACATGTTTAATTTTGGTCAAGTCTTGGCGACAAAGAAGTCGTTTTCTTGGAAATTGAAACGTTTATGTAGGAGTGAGATGGGCTTATTTTCTTTTTTAATTTTTAAAGTTGTAATAGTAATAGTATTATATTATAGATAGTTGACTTGAAAAGGGCAATGCTATATGTACACCCCTTTTTAATAAATTACACAAAGAAAAGTGCTATATGTATACCCCTTTTTTACACTTGAGGGGGTGTACATATAGACACCTTCCTTGAAAAATGGAAAGGGGTTAGGGAGTGCAGAGGAAAACATTTATGTGTGAACTAGTGTTTTAAAATGGTATAGCGTAATGCGTAGCGCTTTGGTCTTTATACTGCGTAGCGTAAATAACGTAGTCTGTTGCAAAGCTTTTTGGGTATAACTTTTGTTTATATATAGAATATTATAAATATATTTGCATATAATAAAACTGAATGGTTAATTACAAAAATTATCATACTTTAATTATTATTTTTTATTTAACTTCACCTTAATTCTAACCATTAGATATGAACTTTCTATTCTTTATTTAAATTTTAAAATATCGAAAAATAAAATGATATAACAAAAGTGGACCGATAAATATTGCACTATTCAACATAGGGCTTTGCATTTTCAAACTTTTAATTTGAAATTATTTTCAAAATTTATAGTTTTTTAGTTGTCATTTATAAATATGACTCTGATCCCTAAAAAAATAAGAGTTTTTGAATATTTTAATGTCCAAATGTCGTTGTAGAAATATCGCGCACAATAGCGCGAAATAGCGTAAGAAAGCGTGTCATTTCGACATCTCGCGCAAGCTTTTCGGGAAAAACGCTAAATATATAAGGTTACGTCGCGTTTTTAAAAAATAAGCTATATAGCGAGCAACAACGAGCTATTTAAAATAATGGTGAGAACTTAACCAAAAAAAAAATAGATTAGGAATTTAAATGAAAAAAACAGATAATTATTTGTAACATACAATTTTTCCATTAGGAAAAAAAAAAAATGTAAGGACTTTTAAGTCTGTTCATTTTTTTAAACAAAATCACTCCTTATTTTATATTTGTACAGATATAGATAGACAGATTATGCGCACATTATAGCTCTATTTGATTATTAGCGGATAGTTGATGGTGGATTGTAATATGAGATTTGACTAGCAGCCTAGCAGATTGTATTATGTGTTTGTAAATAAATGTTTGGTAAATAATGTATTGTACAACTAATTTGAAAATTTATGTTAATATACTACTCTGCGAATCATCTCTTCTCAAGTGTTTGAGTTTTTCAATATTAATGTTCTAGACTTTATGTGTAAATAAGTTAATCAAATAAATTATTTACAACACAAGCTAAATAGTGAATTTGACCGATCAAACCTTTAAGAGCATGATTGGATACAAAAATTTCTCAAAAAAATCAAAACATTTTTTAACTCAACCACTTTTTTAACTCAACTTTAACTTAACACCACTATCATCAGTATTATCAATATAATTAAATAATATCAATCAATCATTCTTACACACAACATCACATTAATTCACTATTCATCCACTCACATAATTTTAACTAACTATCACTTCAAATCTTCTATTTCCTACTTTACATCAAATCAACTTTGATCATTTTATTTTATATATTATTTTAATATATCCACTAACAATTAACCATACAAAGTTTGTCAAAACTAACCAAACCAAACAAGAAAATCCAAACAAACCCAAAAATTTTTATATCCAATCATCCTCTAATAAACAAGTCAGATTCTACTAATTTCATTTACACTAATGGCTAACATGTTTACATATAATTCATATGGATATGGCTACCGAAACTATTCCGTCGAAATTTATTGAGATTTATAACCACGTGCTACACTACTCTACCAGAAATTCTATGGCACCACATGTAATCTACACGTAAACATTTTCCAATTATTATACTTGATAGCGTTTCTTTTGGCTATTATCACAGTACAAGTTGTCTGTTTGTCCTTTTCCTGCAAAATCAACGTGAAAACTTGAAATGCTCAACATAAAATCAAACTTGTTTAACAATATTCAAATCAATCCAAAGCCTTTTCGGTCATACGAAATACAATTTTCAATTTGTTCACGGGGACCACTGCAGAAGTATGACCAATTCCTCATTGCCCAATCCAAAGCCCATAAATGGATTGAAGCTGGAAGCATCCATTACCTCCCATAAACCATGGCGGACAGTTCATATGCTCCACTCTTCGAAACCGAGAAAGCAGTGGGAAGCTCAATCTACAAGCTCTTTGCGACTTCTGTGTTTGTGGGGATAGTTTCCATTTGGGTTTACAGAGCAACTCAAGCTAGTGAAAATGGCAGGCTCGGGTGGATCGGAATGTTCGGTGCGGAAATATGGTTCGGGTTCTATTGGGTCCTCACGCAGGCCCACCGCTGGAACCGGGTTCGTCGCCGGACTTTCAAGGACAGGCTCTCGCTCAGGTTTTTTTTTTTCGACTCTTTTTCCTCTATGTTCTGCAGATGTTGCCTGTTTGCTTAAAGTCGTGACCTGCAAATTTGTTTAGAACTATGGTCTTAGCATCATTTGTGAATAACAATGGATGGTTCGATAAGCCGAGCCATCCGATGGTTCCATAGCAAAACCGGGTCTTCGCATTTGGGTTTTCCCTTTTTTTTTTTTCCTGTTATTATGTTTTTGTTTCTTAATGCTTCTCAAAGGAAGTAAAGTTTCACACTTTGTGATCTAAAGCATCTAAAATCACTATGGAGCCTTTTGCTCGTGATTGTGTTATCGTACACATTCTGCTTCTTGTCTGTGCATTTAATTAGTAAGTTTCAGGTTGTTTTGCGTGGACCACATTTTCCAAGTTAAGCAACTGGAATTGGATGCATAAAACGTGCATAAACAAACGGTGAATCTCTTTATTAACAGGTACGAGGATGAATTGCCCCGGGTGGACGTTTTCGTTTGCACGGCTGATCCTAAAATAGAGCCACCGATGATGGTGGTCAACACCGTTTTATCGGTAATGGCTTATGATTACCCACCGGATAAACTCTCGGTGTACCTATCTGATGATGGCTGCTCGGATGTGACTTTCTATGCCCTCTTGGAGGCCTCCCATTTTGCCAAGCATTGGATACCTTACTGCAAGAAATTTAAAGTCGAGCCTCGATCACCAGAAGCCCATTTCAGGTCAGGGTGTGACCGGTTGGAAGCATCCCAGGCACAACATTTGGCTTCAGTCAAGGTATTGAGTGCTCTACAGTGGCAAAACAAATGATATTTCTATGAAACTGAGCCAAATACATGAAGTTTTTTTTTAGTAACTTAATAAGCTATTCAATTAGAGAGATCCGTGTTGTTGTTTTTGTTGTTGTTGTTAGTATTATTTCAACTTAGTTTCTTTCGCATGTGAACTACAAACTAGATATGCTGGATTAATGTATTGTAATCTGCCTCGTTTAGGAATTGTATCAAGGGATGGAGAACAGAATTGAACTTGCAAGCAAATTGGGAAGGATCTCCAAATCTGCACCTCTGGAACACAAAGGCTTTTCTAGTTGGGATACTTTTGTGTCTAAGACTGATCATGATACCATACTGCAAGTGGGTTATCGTACATAGTGCCTGCACTCGTACTTTCTGAACAATATTGGAAGTTTACTTCAATTTAATCAAACAAAAAAGTAAAGAAAAATCTTTCGGAATTACAGATACCCTTTGATTGTTATTTGTTTATGTTCAAATGAAAGATTTATGTTAATAAAATACAAAACCGATCATAAGTTTGAAATGTGGAGGGGTTTTTGGCTTTTTGCCTTTAATTGGTTTACCGTCAAGGGAAGATTTTGTATTATTCTTAATCTTTTTTATATGGGAAAGACTTGATGTTTTGTTTCACATTCTTCAGATACTCATAGATGGAAGAGATGAAGAAGCTAAGGACATTGAAGGGTGTAGACTGCCAACTTTGGTATATTTGGCTAGGGAAAAACGTCCCCAACATTTTCATAACTACAAAGCGGGAGCTATGAATGCTTTGGTGAGTTTAATAATTACAAGAAAAAAATCTTAATGCTCGATCATTTACTGTTTCATGGTGTTACTTGTCCTCGACTCAAAAGCATAGTTCATCAGACAAGTAATTGTAAAAATAAAGTCTTTTACTTTTATAATATTGAATTCGTGCAGATAAGAGTATCATCAGAAATCAGCAATGGAGCCGTAATTCTAAATGTAGATTGTGACATGTACTCTAACAACTCTCAATCTATTAGAGACGCACTCTGCTTCTTCTTGGACGAAGGCAAGGGCCGTGAGATTGCTTTTGTTCAGTTCCCACAGAACTTTCACAACCTCACCAAGAACGATCTTTATGGAGTCTCCATGAGAGTAGTTGCTGATGTGAGTACTTAATCATGCACTATGTCTCTTAATAACATTATATGCCATACTTTTTTTTCGCTTGCTTTCTACTAAATTTTTTTTTTTAATGTTGAGGGGATTTCAGGTTGAGTTTCATGGTCTGGATGGTTATGGAGGGCCGATGTATATTGGGACCGGCTGCTTTCACAGAAGGGACACTCTATGTGGAAGAAAGTTTACCAAAGGGTCCGCATTCGAGTGGAAGGGGATCACTGTTCCAAAGACGGATGTTTCTGAACTAGAACAAAGTATAAAAGAACTTGCAAGCTGCACATTCGAGAAAAACACCCAATGGGGCAAAGAGGTTCTTCATTATTTATGTCTACCTTGATAAATAAAAAGTTAAATTATTTATCATTTCTATAATAAATGTATCTATGAAGCCTAGTATATGGTATAAGTTAGAAAAATTATTATAGTATCTTGCGAGTGAGTCTTACAGGTAAAGTTTGTCTTTTTAAATAAAAACCAATAATATAATTCTGTAAGAATTGTTTAAAATTTTAAAATAGAAGCTTCTAATATTTAGACTAAAAAAGAGAGATGATTAATGCAGGTGGGCTTGAAGTATGGGTGCCCAGTAGAGGACGTGATCTCGGGGCTGTCCATCCAATGCCGGGGCTGGAAATCAGCTTATTTCAACCCTGAAAGGAAGGGCTTCTTAGGTGTAGCAGGGACCACCCTTGATCAGCTACTGCTTCAGCACAAGAGATGGTCTGAAGGGGATCTACAGATTATCCTCTCAAAATATAGCCCTCTATGGTATGGACTTGGCAAATTAAATATTGGCTTGATAATGGGATACACTGCGTATTGCTTTTGGGCCGTCAATTGCTTTGCTACATTGTACTACTCCACCGTACCTGCACTTTATCTACTCAGAGCTCATCCCTTGTTTCCAAAGGTATCATTTTTTATTAACAAAACTTATCATTCAACTTAGCTACAAAAGTATCCCTCAACTTAGCTTACTATGAAGGAAATTACACGCTTATCGAAATTTGGTAGATAGCTCGGATTAGATTCTTATTGGACTAAACTTCAAGGGTATTTTGTGTGATACCACTTCTCAATAAGCAATAATGCATCTAGGAAAAAGAACCATCTATATTCTATACTATTATAAAAGAGCCAATGAATCTGTAAAAATATGATATGCCTACAATACCCTTACTTTTTCATATCTATAATGTCAAATTTGTAATTTAATACTCATCTATATTAAAATTTTTAATTATTAACTAATATAATAATGATTTAAATACCTAAGCAAAGAGGAAACTACATTCTAGCGACCAGACTCTCCACTTGCGTAACCTTTGGAGAGTAGCTAATTATCAATGCCTTTTATTTATCACAATATCCCCTTTTGAATTTTTTTTCACTCCGGATTTTCAGTAATATTAAAATTTGAACAAACTTTTAAAATTATCAAAATGTGTTTGTTTGATACTGTACAGAACACCAAAACTATGACATTAGCTTACCAAATATGTCAACTTTAAATAGAGCTATAAGAATATTTGAACACAATAATAAATTCGTTATAAAAAATAATAAATCTAAGTAATATTATTTTATTATACTATAAATCTATAAATTATGTACTATAAAGTTTAAAAAATATTTTTTATCAAAAAAGTCATTTTTTAACAAGAATAAAAAACTTATAAACTGAAATATAAAGATAAAAACTACTCGATAATAGAACAATGATGAACATTAAAAAATTAAATGCGAAGACATATTGCCAAATAAATGAATTTGATTGCTTCAAATATCTTTTACATTTGATATTTTTATAATAATACAACTGTAATTACAACGATTAGTAAAAGAGATACAAATATAAGATATAGTAAAATTATAAGTATGAATAATGACAAATAAAATTCAGTTAACTAAAAACAATTGAATGTAGTAATCAAATATATTATGAAATAAATCAACTTTGAACAGAGTTATAGAAAATATTTGAACACAATAATAAATTGATTAGAAAAAATAAATTTTTTTTATTATATTATAAATTATGTACTTATAGTTTAGTTAAAAGGTGCATTTCATTAAAGTAGAGTTTAAAAAATATTTTTATCAAAACAGATAGTGTATGCAACTAATATACATGAAAGTGTAAGGATTCACTCAGTATTTTTTTCTGACATCTTTTGACGATTGTGCAAGATTTAAACAATGTGAGTTCCAAATAATTTAGATCATTATATGTTGCTCTTTTTGAAAATATGGACTTTCAATTAACATTAAGAGGTCATAATGAGTATAAATATTTTTAAAGAAAATATATTAAAAATAAGTAAAAGTATCTAGCCATACTTTAAGAGTATTTATATGTATATAATTTGGAATTAGTACAATATAAAAAAGTAATTAAAACTAAAAATTTATCCTAAAACGACATTGTTTTATGAATGACTGTAACAACTATTTTAGTTTTTAGTTAAGTATTCTGAACGATGATCTGGATTGACTATTAGGATTTTTTTACAGGCTTGATAAAATCATAGAGAATAACGTTACATTATATGACATAGTTAAAATTTTGTTCAAGTTTATATTTGTGTATATATATATATATATGTATAATTTTTCCATATAATATTATTATCCATCTAATTGGAGGAAATTAAGATTTGTAGTTATGAACTTAAGATTATACATCTTATGTGGTCCACCACATATTAATTGGTTGATATTTATTCAATTACAATTTTATGAGCATTAAATGTGACCTGAAGACCAAAACTATCGTTCATTACTTCATTGTATATGATATGACACTTTTAATTTAATCAATTTATTTCTTAATTGAAAATGAAAATATAATTTACCAAACAAAATATTTTCAATCTTTTTAAATTACTGTTTTAAGATTATTTGAATCTAAATGTATTGTGCACCATATGTTTGTAATGGCTCATGAATTATAATATAATATTTGTACATAAAGAAAATACTAACCAAGATTAAATTTTAAAATATATTTATAACTCATGAAAATGACTATAAATTATTATATTAAGTGAAAAAATGCATATGAAAATTATGTGACTGGAAAAAAGGAAGGTAATATGAATAACATTTAAAAACTTTGCTAACAACAAAAAAACAACAACAACATAGTCTTTTAGTCCCAAGTAAGTTGGGGTAGGCTAGAGATGAAGCCAAGAGAACCAATGGTAAGAGAAACACAAAAAATGCTCAAAACAAAAGGAAGAGATTGGAGCAAAAGAGAAAGGAGCAAAAGTCACGGTTCTGGCACGTTGATTGCTAGCCTCCAAGCGCTCCTATCCACCGCGAAATCCTTGGAGATATTCCAATATTTAAGGTCTTTCTTAACCGACTTCCCAAGTGAGTTTAGGCCGACCTCTACCTCTATTTACATTCAACCCGCTGTAGAATTCCCCTACGCACCGGTGCATCAGGAGGCCTTCGTTGGACATGTCCGAACGACCTCAATCGATGTTGAACCAATTTCTCCTCAATTGGAGCCACCCCGACCATATCATGAATCTCCTCATTCCGGGTGCTATCCCTTCTTGTGTGCCCGCAAAACCAACGCAACATACGACATACGCATCTCTGCTACACTTAGTTGTTTGACATGTTGCCTTTTTGTAGGCCAACATTCAGCACTGTATAGCTTCACCGGGCGAATCGCCGTCCTACAGAACTTACTTTTTAGCCTTTGTGGCACCCCGAAGCTTGACGCCGTTTCAACCAACCAGCTACAATTCTATGCCTAACGTCTTCATCAATGCCACCATCCTTTTATAACATTGATCCTAAATATCGAAAAGTCTCCTTCTTGGCCACCACTTGCCCGTCAAGACTAACGTCACCATCATCATGTGTAGCCATGCTGAAAGCGCACGTCATGTACTCGGTCTTCGTCCTACTAAGTCTGAAGTCTATCGACTCTAACGTGTCCTTCCACAACTCTAACTTCCTATTTATCTCTGTCATACTCTCGTCAACTAGCACCACATCATCAGCAAAGAGCATACACAAAGGGATATCACCTTGTATGTCCCTTGTGGCCTCATCCATCACCAAGTCAAATAAATAAGGGCTCAATGTTGACCCCAGGTGTAGTTCTATTTTAATTGGGAAGTACCCCACATGTTCGGACACACGTCATCGCATCCTTGTACATATCCTTGATGAGGTAATGTACTTAGATGGGACTTTGTTCTTTCTAAGGCCCACCACATGACATTCATCGGTACTCTATCATAGGCCTTCTCAAAGTCGATAAAAGACCATGTGCAAGACTAACTTAGATAATGAAAGGCCCACCACATGACATTCCTCGGTACTCTTTCTGGGGGTTCTATTACTGGGTAGTGAGTTTCGGAAGAAACTTCTTCTCTTTGCGGGGACGAAATTCGTTTCAGTTCTGCCCGGTCTTACCAAACAAGACTGACTTCTGACCAACTCTAAACAAGACTAACTTAGATAATGAAAGTTTGTCAACCAAATTTGTCATGCAACTTTAAATTTGTTTCTCAAATTTCAATAAACTTGATACAATTCATCATGTAACGTACTCTTTTGTTTGATTCATTGAAAACAATAATGCAAAAACTTAAACCGACAATAAAACATATGACATAAAATATAATATTTTTAAATCACGTTACAATATAAATTAGGTATCACGTGCATCGCACGTGCACTTTACTAGTATACCTAAAAATCCAATTAATTTCTTGAATATAAAAGTACCCCGTAAGTAATTTTCTTGTGCTGCCTTCAGGTCTGATTGATGACGGGCTTTTTTGAAAATAATCGAACTTTAGATACATGTTTCTCATCAACCCAAACAAAACAAAATGGCTACTCACAGAACTTTAGCTTATCTAGTAGGGAATGCCACCTTGAAAATAATAAACACCCCTTAGCAATTTTTGCAGTTATTTTTAACTCTTTGTTTAACCTGAAAATTCACAGATATCAAGCATTTGGCTTTTCCCATTTGCATACGTGACTGTTGCCGTGAATGCATACAGTTTTTGTGAGTATCTTTATTGTGAGGGTACTGCCTTGGGGTGGTGGAATGATCAAAGAATGTGGCTGTACAAAAGAACAAGCTCCTATCTCTTTGCAGTGATCGACACTTTCTTGAAGTTCGTGGGCTGTGCTGAGTCGGGCTTCATAATATCGGCCAAGGTGTCAGATGAGGACGTGTCATCCAGATACGAGAGGGAGAAAATGGAGTTTGGTGCCACCTCACCAATGTTCACAATTCTAACTTCCCTGGCCATGATCAATCTCCTTTGTTTACTTTGGGTGCTCGTGAAATTGGTTCCGGTTAGCGGGCTTGATTTTGTTTACGAAAATGTGGCTTTGCAAGTTCTTTTGTGTGCGGCATTGGTTTTGATAAATTTGCCCATTTATGATGCGGCTTTTATCCGTAAGGATAATGGCCGGATCCCGGGCTCAGTCACGGTTAGGTCGATATTGGTGGCTCTTTCGTTGTGTACTTGTTATGCTTTCTTGTGAATTTTGAATTTGGGTTCCTTTTGATTGTAATTTTAAACTATTTCTGTAATTTCTTATTTATGTCCTAATGGTAATCGTTGTTCTTGGCTTGAGCTAAGTTTAAAGCAGGATAACCTACTGTTATTGTTTTAATTAGAATGAATTCAGTTATATAGCTTTTTTTTATTTTATTTTTTTTCAAACTGCAAATATATTAATAACTTGATGTTCAATAAAGTACAATCGAGGTGTCGATTGACACCAAAGGAACCAAAACAAAGTTTAGACCAATCCCCTTGAAATAACACGTGTTCAAGACTTCAAGTGGGTACAAATTCTATCAAGGAGATAACAAAAAACTACAAAACAAACTCCATGAAAAAACTAGATGTCAAACGACAAAAAACAAGAAAAACACACCTAATAAATAAACAAATAGAATAAAATTACTCTTAAACCTAGGAGGCCAGCAAACAACTACCTAAACCAACACGTGAGACCCACGCCGCAGCAAAAGTCATAACATAGGCAAAATTGCATATAATATCACAACATTTATCGAGATTGCAAAATAATCACGACTTTTTAACTTTTGCATACGATATCACAACCTTCAAATCTTTGCAAAACGGTACATACTTTTCGTCTGCTGCCAACTCACATGCTGATGTGTATTTATCAAATTATTTTTTTTTTCATCTCAGCCCTGAAACGACGTCGTTTCGTCGGACGTGTATAAGTTCGAATTTTGTTTTCCACGTCATCCAAAAACGACGCCGTTTCGTAGGACGCCCGTCGATTTAAATA